GTGGGTTTCCTCCCACAGTCCAAAGACATGCTGGGAAGTTAATTGGCTTCTTGGAAAATTGGCCCTGGTGCGAGTGTGTGTGTTAGTCTCTGTCTGCCCTGCATTGGACTGACGTCCCGTCCAGGGTGTGTCCCACTTTGCCGCCACTGCTTGCTGGGACAGGATCCGGCTCCTTCATGACCCTGACTTGGAAAAAGTGGTTAGAAAAAGCATGGGCGGATTTCATAGTAATGCTTTGCTTGCCATGACGGCATACTGTGTACATGCATACACAGAATGGATTAATAAAATGATCATGTTAGACACTGACACATCAATCCGGCCTGTTGCTGTATTTTCTATTATTGAAAATTATTATTATAGCCTTTTATTGTCTTGATTTTTTTATGATTCACAGTATGCAAATAAGAAAATTTTAAGGATTATCAGTTTCAATCACTGTGGTATAAGAATATTGCTACTTTGGAATCACTCTGTAGAAGAGCATGCAGATATATTCCCGGTCTTAAAGGAACGTCCTATTCTGACGGACCGAAAGAACCGACTTTGAGGGGACCTGATCCAAGTATTCAAAATCCCTCAAGTCGCCGAGGGAATCGGCCCCGTGGAGGTCTTGGGAACACACGCTGCGCCTGGGCCGAGACCGACTCGCATCCCGCCACTGCCTGAGGCAGCTCGAACATTCGCACACGTTCTCAGCCTTCCCCTGACCCCACGGGAATGAGGTCAGGATGCCTGTGTATTAAACCGGCTGCCTTCCAATCTAGTTCTCAATCAGCTCATTAGGCTTGGTTATTTAAGGCAGCTTTCTCCCCTGATTAGCGCTCCGACATTAGAACTACCAGAGCATTCAGCCGGCCTGCTTCCTCTCTCCCATCACTCGCAGTCACACGTCCACCGAGTCTCCCCAGAAACACCTGGACAGCCCCCGAGTCCTGCACCTGGGCTCCGGCCGGTCATCTCGCTGCAGCATGACAGTCCAACCAGAGGCACTGTCAGAGTTTATGGCCTTAACCTTCCTGAGAGCCCCCAAGGTTCTGGCTTCATCAAAGTGCAATGCTCACCTGCATTAAACAGCAGGAATTATTTCGAGCATTTCTAAATGGTGATCATTACGGTATTTTGCAGAGCAATGTAGACTCAAGCCAGCAATGTACTTTTTTTTAAAGACACTTTTAAAAGATGTTTATCGTCAAAGTTAAAAGGCTGTCAGACGTCTTTGCCAAGTGAGATCCCCTGTGGGTTAAACAAAACATGCCAAATGACTGTGATTTACTTTTCCCCTAAGCTATTTCTCTTTTATACACTATTAATTGAAGAGTAATGAATTTAATGACATTTTCAGTTCTCTCTTGATTAATTAAGGAGAATTTCAGAGCTCTTTTTAACGAATGCTTAGGAAGTGTGTTGATGCTGCATTAAATATTTAGAATCCATTAAACCTCCCATTTTCTAACTGCTTTTGCCAATTCAGAGTCACAGGAGAGCTGGAGCCTATCCCAACAACTAACAGGCTTAAGGCAGGATACACCCTGGATGTGACACCAGTCCATCATAGGGCAGACGGCCAGAAACCCAGTCACATACAAACTCACACCAGGGCCAGTTTTCCCAGAAGTCAATTAACCTACCATTACATTTTTGGACTGTGGGAGGAAACTGGAGCACCTAGAGGAAACCCACCCGAACATGAGCAGAACATATAAACTCCACACAGATAGCCCCCCAGGTCCGGAGCTGAATAATAATAATAATAATAATAATAATAATAATAATAATTGCTTAGACTTATATAGCGCTTTTCTGGACACTCCACTCAAAGCGCTTTACAGGTAATAGGGGTCCCCTCCACCACCACCAGTGTGCAGCCCCACCTGGATGATGCGACGGCAGCCATAGTGCGCCAGAACGCTCACCACACACCAGCTCTCAGTGGGGAGGAGAGCAGAGTAATGAAGCCAGTTCAGAGATGGGGATTATTAGGAGGCCATGATTGGTAAAGGCCAATGGGAAATTTGGCCTGGACGCTGGGGTTACACCCCTACTCTTTTCGAGAGACACCCTGGGATTTTTAATGACCACGGAGAGTCAGGACCTCAGTTTACACTTTTTTTTACAGTACAGTGTCCCCGTCACTATACTGGGGCATTAGGACCCACAAAGACAGCAGGGTGAGCGCCCCCTACTGGCCCCACTAACACCTCTACCAGCAGCAACCTTAGCTTTCCCAGGAGGTCTCCCATCCAGGTACTGGCCAGGCTCACACCTGCTGAGCTCCAGTGGGCTGCCAGCAGTGAGCTGCAGGGTGATATGGCTGCTGGCTGCAAGGCCCCAACGCTGTAAGGCAGCTATGCTGATTACTGTGCCGTCTATCAAGAATCTGTGCAGTTTATTTTAAATTCAGGAGTGAGGGTGAAGGAATAGTAGCTCAATGTGGTGTCCCGAGTGTGGGTATCCTAGATTTTGAAGTTCTGCAAATGACAGGAATATTTTTTATGGTGGGTCTTACATATTTACTGTTAAGTATTGTTATGCAATATAATGCATATGTAAGCTGCAGCAGAATGTTTAGAGTTTTAACACAGGTTAGTGAGTTTTAAACACTCGCATATAACCATTATTTTCCTGAAGATCCTCTTAATCTTGTTACCCCCCTCTGGGATGCACACTACATCCGACTTTCTTATCAATTTAATGTAGCACATCATTTAGGCTGTGCAGCACATTCATCACTACAAGACCATGTTAATATTCAAATCACTGAGGAAGCAAGGAAGAAATACAGTATTTCTTCTACAGGAGTAGAATAGCTTTAAGTACACTGGTAGAACTTGGATTCCTTGAACCGAATGATACTGCAAGTCCATAACATGTAGCTTCAGTTATTGTACTTATCTCCATAGCAATCTAAGTATAGCTGTTAAACATTCTGCAGTTCCCTTCTTCCTTCTTTATACAGAAATATTTGATCACATGTTAATATTCTACTGTATCTTTGGCCCTGTGTAGTTTGTACTACCTTTGGAATACAAAAAGTGGCCTTGTAGCTTTATGGATGTGTAGAGTGGAGACGTCAATGACGAGGAGTCAAGTAAACTTGATTTGTTTTGTGTACATAATGTATTAGCTACTACAACACTTCATAATGGCTGCTCATGTACAGTTTACCTTGAGAAGTTATGATCACGCTTTTGAAACATTTGATCAATGTGACTTAAAGTCAGTAAATTCAAAGCTTGATTTCTTTTCACCCCAACTAAGATGTATTTACTAAACAAAGTAACTTACTGTATGATGCTCTAGGCAAAAGAAAGACACCTCAGGAGAAATGTTGATGTTCACACACAATGTATCTCCTGAGTGTGTCTCTCACTATAGTATGTTCAGACTTGTTAAATGTTGATATGACCATATTCCCATGTCAAGAGGTATATCAGCAACGTATGCAATAAAACTTTCTCTTGAGACATTATGCACATTTAAAAAAAATGTAACTAAAGCTGCAAGTACATTCAAAGACTGACGGACTATTTTCTTTCCTAAGATGGGTTGACTCACAGGACCATGTATTCTGTATCTGCTGTAATTTTCAATTTACTATATATTAGGGCTATTTATTCCATGGATGAATGGAAAATACGGGCACTAATTGGACATTAATGAAGAAATGTCTCAGAAACTATGAATGATGACACCAATAATGAGCTACATGTTAACTAAACAGCAACAATGCAGGAAAATGTTTCAGGGGAAAATTGGAGAAGAGGCAAATGTGACGCTTATGTGATCAAAACCATCTTATTGGGTAAAAACAGTTTTTCTTCTACAAATTTACAATTTTGAATACATATTTTAAGATATTTGCAATTGTGAGATTTTTTGTATCATTTAAAAATCAAACAAAGTAGTGAATCACATCTTCTCTTCTGTTTTCCAAACCAGATAATGGCAGAGTTAGAGTTAGGGAACATATCACTCCCTTTCTGTTCACTCTGACAGCTGCCTGACGAGGCTGTTTCTGGACTTCCAAGAGCTCCAAGTACAGTACTGATTCTTCCCACTTGACATTGGGTCAGTCAGGCTTAATTGGTGTATATGATGGATTAGCTACTACAGCAGTTCAGATTGGTTCAGATTCAGAGTCATGGTCACTACACCAATTAAATGTGCTGTTTGTAAAATAATGTTGTAAGTGTCCAACTGAGACCTAAGGATATGAACTTGTACAACCTAATTTAAATTTTAGTTTGGTAGCAAAGAGATTTGAAATATTACGTGCTTCTGTATAAAAAAACACTTACTAAACATCCATATTTAATGACGTGATTTAATCACAATATTGGGCTTCAATACTAATATGCTTAAGAAGATACTAATGATTTCATTAAAGGTTTTGGACATTGTTCTCAAATGTTTTCAAATAAAGCAGAATATAAGTTTTGCCATGATGAATGGGTAGAGTACTATTGCAGTTTTGAAGCTATTATGTAGTGCATGTACTATGTATTTGCTCTGCTTTAGTCTGATACCTCAGAGATAGTATCATGCTTCACTTAAATATAGTACATATCACTCTCTCTTATATTACTGATGATGTGTAATAATATTGTAACTGTAATATCAATGAGCTCAACCCTGATTATACAATACAGAGGAAATATTTTTAAAAAGCTGTGTCCAAAAAGCTTTCTTCAAAAGCAAGCCACTCTTAGCGGTGGAATTATCCTGACTGTTTTAATTATGGAATGTTCACCCACCCTTTATTTGAACTTAAAAACCGAGATGTTGTTAAATTGACAATAACAATTTGTTAATTCAAGAACTTAGTGCTTGGTTCAGTTTTCTCTACTAGACCTTGAAACCTTTCTGGGCTTCATATGGCCTTAAATTGTAACTACAGTTTGTACTCAATATTCAGGATATAGTAGCAGAAGATTGTTTTCAGTCTCACCATTTTAGTTTTTATTTTTGCTGTTCCACTTCACGACCTGCCTGTGAAGCCTCAGCACCCAATCGTGACTATCCATGAAAATGAAGCACTCAGCTCTAAAGAGGTAATGAACAAATCTTTTTGAAATTTCTCCCTTAGATACATAGAGCTTGTGATGTTTGCAAGTTATGTCTTTCTTCCTTTTAATTAAAAAATAACTCACAAAAAAAATCACTCAAGTAGAATGATTTATGACCAATCAATAATGTATGATGTTATAACTGAAAGCTAAATAAAAATCTTTCCCTTTTTAACTTTTTCTATTGTCTTTTAAAATAAAAATAAGAAAAATGGAATTCTATACAAAATTGATATTTAATTATACAGAGCTAGTTTGTTTTTCCTCATGCATCTTACTACCCTTTTAAAAGACTTGAAGCTATTATTGTTAACTAACTGACTGACTTAGTTTTAAGAGCTATTGAACAATAAAGCTGCTGTGTTCTGAATTTGAGACAAATGAAGGGGGTAATATAATGTCTTTAGGCAGTGCTGTCCATCATGGCCTGAACACATTATCTTACCTGCAGCCCTTACTGACTCCCAGATTTCAATCTGTCTCACGTCCTTCTCATCCTGCCAATGTCAGGGATCACGAACCAGTAAGCCCCTTCTCTGTTGCCCACATGAACCTTTAGAAAAAGGGACATGAACAACAAAAACTTGCATTCAGAAACAGAATATTCTTCTTGAAAATGTAGTAAAACCACATTTCTGCACTGGTGGACTTAAACCTTGCTGTGCAGAAATTGCTTTTAACTGTTCATGAATAGTCCAGCGTACTGTACATGTTAACCTCTGAAAAACACGGGGTGGCAGTGAGCTGGAGATTAACCTGGCACAAGGCAAGATGCTGCCTGGACGTTATGCCAGTCTATTGTAGTGCTAAAACTCTAGCAAAGGCTAAATAAAAAAAAGTTTTTAATACCAGCTGATTTGATATCTATTTCTAGTTTTTTATTTGTTATATTTGTCAAAAGCTGAAATGGTTGCAGTTGGTTACAACCCTGTATCACCTTTTGAGCTTCACAACTACCCTCATTCTGCTGTGCAGCCCGAAATGTAACCAGTTTGACCTCTGTGTGTCTGCTACAGCGTCATTCCCACCTGTGTCTGTTCACCAGTACTTGATCAATAAGTAACAATTGTGCAGTCAGGAACAACAGGAAGGAAGCAGAAGAAAGGGTTGGGAGCCATGCACAGAGGCACAGTGGTTAGCAATGCTGCCTTGCAGCACTGGGGCCCTGTGTTCAATTCCTGGGGTGCTATCTGTGAGGAGTTTGTAAGTTCTCCCTGTGGGTTTCTTCGGGTTCCCCGGTTTCCTGTAGTCTTAAGACATACTGGTAGGTTAACTGGCTTCTAATATATGTCTGCCCTGTGATGAATTTGCATCACATCCAGGGTGTATCCTAATTTGCACTCGTGCAGAAATGGGCCTAAGCTCCCATGTGACCTAGATAAAGCAGTTAGAAAACTGATGGATGGGGTAACTTTGAAACAAGTTAAAACAAACTCTGTACAAGCAAGCAAAGCAATTAAACACAAGGGATTTAGAAATTAGCTGAAATGAAAACTATCAGTCAAATTGTTCCTTCATGACCAAAGCTGGGAACCAGTGGTTTAGGGATCCATTAATAATTTAGGGACACAGGCAGCGTGTATGCAGACAGATGCTCAAAATGTTCCCTTTACAATTATCAGCCCCAAACCCCAATACCCATACAGTAATATATCATATTTTCATTTTCTCACTTCCCATGAATAAGTCATTGCCAAGGGTTCACGACAAAGTGTGCTCCTCCAAAGACACAGCTGTCAGCTTGCTGACCTATGGTCTGATGTACACTGTAGAATGAGACTCCAAGCCAATGTGCCACAAATTTAATTAGATGGAAAGTATTTTCATATATTCCTATATTCCTATTAACTGAGCTATATTGAGTGTGCACATCACTGATATCAATTTTAAATATTCATTTTGCTGTAATTCACACATTTTGATCTACATCACTTGCTGAATTATTAGGATTCTCAGGACAAATCCATATTCAAGTTGTCAGGCAGTGCATGATTGGCCAGAGGAGCACGACACAGATTTCGGTCATTCTCCCTGGCCAGAACAATCTCCAGACCTCAGTCCTACTGAAAACTGGAGTAGGACTGGTAGAACATGTGCTGGGATTGAGCAACAAATACAGGATGCCATGACCCACAAGAATAAGGCCAGGTTCTGATCAAGCAGTGATTGCTGGAATTAGGTGTTCCCAATATTTTGGCCAATTACTATATAATCTCAATAACAAGGCATCTTCTATTTTCATTTCAAAGATTACTCACACGTTGCTTGGAGCTGGAAGGACAGGCAGCAACAAAAGCCCTGGGAACCAAAAGCTCAATAAGGAGAAGTTCCAGCAAAACATGCAGGTGCCCAACACCCAGGAACTCCTCCACACCGCAGGAAAGAAAGAGCATAAAACACAGAAATCCCCTTCAGGGCCAGTGGGGTCAACAGGGACCGTCTCCAGCTCCATTGACTCTGCAGCAGCGAAGACGACGGAAGTTAGAGAGACCCACATTTAAACGCGAGGGAAGATCGTGAAGGAGACTGCACCAGAAGCAGTTCTGAACCTGAGCAGTCAGAGCTGGAAACAGTGACTGGGGGTTCACTGAACGGTCACACCAACTGTAATATCTTCATTGCCAAATCATAGAGATGTCCTTTGTATTTTATTTTGCCATAAAGCTTTTCACAGCTCGCCATCCTTGGAATATGGTTATGAATGATGAGATATTTAATTTAATTAATAAATTGTAAAAGAATAGTACTTCCTCCCACATCATACCCTCAGTGTTAATCTGTTAGGTATTATATGATGCATGAAGTCCTGTAAAAGCTTATGTTAATTAAACAGTATACACTTAAAAAACGAAAACTGACAGGAAGAATATTTTTACATCAGTTTGGGATTACCTTTGTGAATGCCAAAAGGTCTCTTTAAGTACATTAATACTTAAGGAAACTATATTATTGTTTTATACTAAATTATTTAGTTAAATTATTTACGAATAGCATTTTTATAGTTTCCCATTATACGCAGTTTCATACAATTTTAAATTTTCTAATTTTATATGTATATGCATTTTGTTTTTAGCTATAGAAATGTGTAAATCTTTTTTTCTCTAATAGAAATTGATCCAAAACAACATATTCATTATATAACTCCCCTTTTCTTGTTTAAATATTTTGTTTGTATAATGCTATTATAATATAATGGAAATATTAATGTCTGTGTGGCAGTTTTGTGCAGCAGTTGAGGAGTGATATACAAGGAAAAAATGCTTAAATGCTACAGTGCTGTTGATCAGCCTAAGTAAACACACCTTAATTGTAAAAAATTACAAGAAATGCAAGTTATTTCTATATTCCATAAGATTTCACCCCTTTATTCATTATTCTGTAATAATGTATTTAAAAAACAACTATAATTACCATAAATAAGTGATCTTTTATATGTTTTCATATACTACAAAATGTACAGCTGTTAGTAACAGTAAAAAAATTATTTCTCAATTTATAAACTAGGGGTTCAATAGTATAGCATGCACTAAATTACTCATAGAACAAATACAGTAACTCACTGGCCAAAGTTAAAAGATGTCTTGGTTGGAAGTTTTGCACTTTCGTTAAGTATGTATTTGATTGGTAGCTTTAAGAATTCGTCCATCCATTTTCTAACCAGTTCTTTTGATTCAGGGTAACGAGGGAGAGGGAGCCTATCCCAGCAAGCAGCGGGCGCAAGGCAGGGTACATGCTGAATGGGACACCAGCCCATCGCAGGGCAGGCTTTGAGGCTTTAAAACACTGACATTTTCTTAGGTGTTTCAATAACAGCAGTTTAGCATGTACTGTACATTCGTAGTGTCCAAGGCAGTTTCACTGGGAGATTTTAACTGCCCTAACATAGATTTGAATATTCCAATATGCAGAAATAGACATGACTTTTTCCTCAGGTTGTCAAAACACCCACTAGAGGCGATGGTAGTACTGATCTAGTTTTCTCTAACAATCAGGACAAGGTAAAGGGAGCAAAAGGGGGAGAACTACTTGAGAATTGTGACTGTGATGGGATAACGCTTTGAAGTATTTTACAGATCCCTACGGGTAGGTTCAGGAAAGTATATAATTACAGGCAAGCTGCCTGTGGGAAAAAAAAAGGAGGCATGATTTAAAATCACAGTGGGGTCAGATAGATGGGGCAATCATTAGAAAACTAATAACCAAAAAGGGAATGCTACGAAAGAGGAGATGCTACGGAGAAGTACGAAATTGGCAGTCATACCCTAGAAAGAAATGGGCGATGTGGTTTAAAAGATCGATCACAAATTGGTCCTGCTTTACACAACGACTAGATTTCTTTGAACAAGATATTATAGCAATGGATAGACAAAGGCTGAGACACAGAATGTTTCATTTCCCAGAAAGCCTTTGATCAAGTTCCATCTATTGATTTCAAATTGAATCCTTACTGGATTAGGTCAATTGACAAATAGACTTCCTGATTTTTTTATGGGATTCTACATTCCAGTGCAGTCAGCAAACATGTCTTGTTTGCAGGTAGCATACAAAATACTCATAAGCGAGGTAGCTGTGTTTTAACAATACCACCCAGAAATATGTAGTTTTAAGCATTTCATGCAAGTAGTAAAATTAAACATCATAAACACAATAGGGGCAGCACTGACATGGAAGAGGGTTTTGAGAATGATAGAAGTGTTTTGCAAGTCTCTTCAATTTCTTCATGCAGACAGAATAAATGATCAGAATTTATTTTCTGTTTAATATATTCTGGAAGTTAAAAAAAATCTGTAAAAGATGTTGTTAATGCTTATAAATTTTAGTCACCACAGGGGGATTTTGAAATAATAATAATAATAATAATAATAATAATAATAATAATAATGTCAGTGCTAAATTATTTTGCATCGATTATGACATTTGTACTAGGCTATTATAGTATTTCTGAATAGGTATTAACGATTACTGTCTCTGTGACTATCTGACATGTTTGTGTGGGATGTTAAAAGGAAATCGGAGGTAATTATTATGTTCCAGGCATTCATTTACTCCTGGAGAAAGCTGGAGGAGCTGGTTTAATTAACACAAGGGTATATAACAAAATTGGAAGAAACACTTCATTGACCTTTAAAAAAATTAAATAACCTTGTTTCTGAGAGCTGAAATTGCAGCCTCTAATGCAATGTTTGAGCTTGAGGATCCTCATATTGACAGACTCCTGCTCTCACCAGAGAGATTTTCACACAGGTGCAGTAGTTTCCTGGGTAGCAGAAATGGGTTCTAGTGCACCCCCCCAAGTCAAGGAGCTTCCAGGACATGCCTTTTTATGTAATTTCAGCGGGTTAGAGGTGACATCATGGGACTTAATATGAGATTTGTACCACTATACAAATGAAGTTTATTTATTGAATGCACAACAATAGAGCGTGCAGCAGGAGTTCCTGGCAATGAAATGTCTCTTCTACAAGCTCACCGGGGGAAATCACAAACTTAAAATGACAAAATAAGGTTACTTAATAACAGATAATGGTCCAATAGAAATTGAATAAAATAAACTTTAACTCAACTCAAAATAAACAACACTCATAAATATAGCTGCTATGTGTCCAGTGTGTATGCAATACATTATGTCCAAGTATTGCGGTATGCCAAATACAGTTTTCATTGCATGTCCATGTAGCCATTACAGGTGACTTGCTAAAGGAACTGCAGGTTACTACAGTACGTCTGGTTCTGGCTGCATTGATACAAAGGGATAACCTACCTTATGTCATTATCTCACTTAACTCTAACAATAGCTTCTGATATATCATTAATTTATCAATTGTGTACATCCCCTCTAATGGACTACTGTCCCATCCAGGGTGTATCCTGCCTTGTGCCCGTTGCTTGCTGGGATAGGCTCCGGCTCCCTGCTACACGGTATGGTATAAAGTGGTCAGATAATGGATGGGTAGGTTGATGGCATATGACTATATTCAATTTAGACATATATATAACCATGTTGAAATAATACCTGGATATTTCAGGACATGTAACAGAAAAGTGGTAAAAAAAATGCCATTCTTATTCTATAATGTATAATGCTATAAAACAGAATAGAAAAGGCTGTCTTGCACGTGCAGGCAGAAGTAAAAGGAATTAAAACCTTCATTCCATCTTCAGACAGTACAGGATACTCCCTGGAGACTGACAGTCATTCAGTGGGGTGGAAGCAGTGTTGCCAGTGATAAGTATTACTTGTGTAGGAGATATCTGCAAAAATATGTATCTTGATCCAAGGATCCCTGAAATTTATACAAGACACATTCTTAACTTCCATTCTATCTTCCATTTGTAAACCATTGTAAATTAGCCTGGGCAAAGCGGTCTGCATTAATAGATAAAGATCATTACATTTACAGCATCAACAATAGTAATGCAATATGTATTTACAAGTGATTGTGGATTTGATATGATTTTGTGATCCCAGGTTTGGCTGCACATACAATGTTAATGAAAGTATTTACTAATTGCATTTAATAATGTTTACAGTAGCTTGCTTATCAAAGCATCCCTATGAAGCAGCCTGACTGAGCTGAGTGCAAGAAAATCCAATAAACCTGATAAGAATTTACTAGGTGTGCTTGTAGTGAGGTGTGTTTATTGACTCTCTTAAGATATATTGTGCTGATCAGGAAGCCTGATCATGCGGTCTCATCCCCAGTGACAGTCAAAAAAGACCCATCATGACCCAACCAGCTTTTGCTATCATCCTTCTGCAGTTAGAAATCTGAAGAACATGAATGCTTTTCACTGACATTACAACAAACAAACAAACAAACAAACAAACAAACAAACAAACATAAAATATGACTAGGGATTAAAAAAATGTATACAAAGCCAATTTGGATTTTTTTGGCTGTTAATGGGTTTAGCTTGCCACTGCATCCAGTGAGCAGCATGAAGCCCGAGCAGGTGTTCCTCGAACACGCCTGTCTGCGAGGTACACGAAACTGCACAGTGCCTCACCGGAGAGTAAGCTCTGCAGGAGCCACACGCTTCACCCTGATGTCACAGCTTCCATGTTGATGTGTAGCAAACCAAGGAAACACAGGCACACATGAGTTTTCCTAACCACCGCTGTGCACAGCCACTTCTGGGAAGCCAGTTAATGACTTTACCTGGAGCTGAAGAAGTCATGTCTAAACCCCAGGGCTCAGCCTGCGCCCTGAGGGAGCTGAACGTCTGAACTATTCATCGTGTATACTGTGGCACTCATTAAACAAACAATTGGCTTTTTCCTCAGGTACAATTTTATCTAGAGCATGTCATGATGTCTGGACAGCATGACAGCTTTCTCACAGAACAGCATTTTTCCAGGAGCAGTAGTAAAATATTTTCTTAAAAAACAGGTGTTTTAAACTAAGTTGCTACATTAAGACTACAAACAGTTGTTTTTGCAATATATTCATTTCGCCACTCTAATTAGATGAAGGTACTAATAGCTTGGAATTTGCCGATAAGTTAATTATTGATGTAACGCTGTTGTGTAATTAAGTCATTTTCAAAGACGTTTTTGTGCTATTTAGACAATGAGACAGACAGAAAAGATCATTTCGAAATGTAGTATTTTGACTTGTTAGATGCACAATAAGGGTGGTGAACGAAAATAAAATGATTAAATTGTGCAAGTCTAAAACATGCAGGCTTCCGAATTGGCAAATTGCTTTAGGGATGATATTTTATTATATGCACTGGGTGAGAAATACATGCATGACGGGGTACACTGCTGCAGTGCTCTGTGTGCTCTCCAGTAAGGAGTAAAAACCCTCGTTGTCAAATGGGTGTGAAATACAGCACTGTGCATTGTCCTGTGAGAGACTCAACATTAGAAACTCTACATTGCAGATATGAGAAATATAAAGCATAGAATGACACGCAAGAAGTTTTCAGGAGACATACATGAACTGAAAAAAGTATTTTGCAGTCAGGATCATGCAAACACAAAGAGCATTTGAACATAATTTGAAACTTGCAATTGGAGTGACACACTGTTACACATTCCCTACCCCTTGATGGGTGTTTTGAAAACTTTTGAAATGTACTAGTAGTAGTAGTTTCCTACTTTGGTGTTCACAGAAAACTTGACCTTAAGGGCATATCATCTGAAATGCTACATGAAAGATATTTACAGTCAAAGAATAATGCATGAAGTAATACTGTACTTTCTTCAATAATCATTTTAGAAAGAAAATGCTTCCAGTTTCCATAGCTTTAAAGAAACTCTTCACAGCAGATGTCCCCCGGAACCGCCCGAGGGACCGAGCGCTTGACATACTAAGTCAATATTTACTTAAGACATACAGTACATCACATTTCCTAGTATTTCACAAACAAAAACCAAAGACCTTCACAGAAAACCTCATAGCAATCGAAATTAGACAACCTGAGCTTCACAAAACCGGTTTCAGAACCGAAATACACCGAGGCAATCGATCACAATAACACTTTTTTTATCTGATGACGCACTTCAGCAAGATTCCAAAGTGCATAATTAAGTAATCAATAACCCAGCAAAACATGCCCGCAAAAGCAAAAACCAGCAAAAAAATATATATATCCCATGTTTTTACCGTGTTCGGGGCATTCGTAAAACCAGAAATATATCCTCAAAAAGCCCGCTCATCTCCAGACCTGGAGGAAACCGAATTATTGGAATTAAATTTTAAAACCGACCGCCCCGAAAAAGCTGGTCTGATTGGTGGAAAACGCTGTCAATCATTATATTTTCAGCCATTCAGAGCCCTTAAGGGATGGGACTTCCTCTGGGAGCCTCTGGCTCTGTTCTGGCTGTAATCCTGCTGTCAATTATCGACACGGCAGGTGGTAATCAATCAGATTCTAATCAGTGGTCATTTTTTCACACCTGAAGGCCACTCTAGAGTTTTTTTTTCAATTCAGGTGGGTAGCTGCGTCAGCATGCGTAGGCTGCAAAGGAACAAGTAATAGGTTTATTCCATGCTGAAAAAAAGAAGAAAGAGAACATAACGTTTCGGCCGTGGAGCCTTGAAGAAGGCTCCACAGCCGAAACGTTCTGTTCTCTTTCTTCTTTTTTTCAGCATGGAATAAACCTATTACTTGTTTTTTTTTCAATGCCTAACAGCAGAAAAAGTCTCATTAGCAGTGCCTGAAGGCTTTTTGTAGCAATTGCGATAACTTTTACATATTTATATTGACTTTCATTATTTTTTATAAATTTTCTGGCGATGTGAGGCGCAGTCTTCACAAAAACAAATATGTAGATTTTTTTCATATGGACCAATGTGTCCCAATTTTTCTATACAAGCTAATAGACACCTAGACCAAGGCCTACAAGCATTTTCAGCTATATGGCAGACCCAAAACCTTAAAAAAATATCTTTGAAGACAGCAAAATAATGTCCCTGCTGTTTTTTTGTTTGTTTGTTTTTCTGTATATTTATGTCTGGTGAGTGGACACAGTGAGAGATAAAAGAAATATGATGCCAAGGCGGCTAGCTTCAATGTAAGACCTGAACCGGGGGCTTCTCCTACTGTATGTCCTGCTGCAGAGATGTAACAGAATGTTTAAGGAGAGAAAATTCCAGGAGGAAGTTGGCTCTGGGGGTTAGTTACAGCAAGGTGTTAAACTACTTAAAGCAAATGTTTTTCTCATGTATACTGACTGCTATGTCATTAAAAAACAGTATGGGAATTACATTAATTAAATCTTTATTTGAACTTTGGAAAAGATCACAGAACATCAGAGTCATGAAGGCACAAATGATATACTGAATAAGGCTGTTAAACTGCTTGTGCTTTTTGTGTCTTTTGTGAACACACACAACCTGTTGTCATGCATTTTGTTCATTAATTAACATGAATTAACAACAAAAATAGAAAATAACAGAATCAAAAAGGACAGTACAATGATATGCAACACTTAAAGATGCTAAAGAATTTGCACTCCTGTACTGTATGTAAACACATTCTTATGAGAATTACGTCTGAAATGTGAGTTAGGCTAAAGGTTTCATTTACAAGTAATTACCTGCTACCTCTTATACTCATCAAAGTCTGCAGTAATCACCTCCTGCTCAGAGCCTTGTCCTTGTGATCCATTCTCTTTCAGCCTCATCCGTGACAGAGACAGCCGGTCAGCCGCCTCATTCCATTTCTCCCACAGCAGCTTCCGCGTGGGAACATCCTTGACTGATGACCACAGCCACATTGGAAAAGAGGCAAAAAATCCACATTCTTCCAGGTAAATAGCCAACTATTAAAATCCACACTTGGACTGAGCAAAGGCCATTAAATCTTGGTAAATAAATTGTCACAAATGACAGGCTTACATTCAGGTTTGAATGATTCCACTCAGAAATGACTGTCCCCTGGTAAATGAAAAATAAAACTGTTTTATGATCCAGGCTTGGCATATGATGGAAGAAGATGAGGCGAGCGACTGTGGCCCAGAGCTCACCAGAGGTTTTTCTCCTGGTTTTGACTCTGGACTGTTTCTCCTCCGGACTCCAGGGGGGAAGAGCCCAAAAGAGCAGGGGGTGGAACTCAAAGCCAAACTGTTGGAAGGGAGTAGAAATTGAAGTAAAACCTTTGTTCATGAGTGATGCTGTTTATAGTCAATAGTTGACAGCGGTGTAAGAAGACATTGAATTAAACAATACGTGTTAAAAATGAATGGTGGCACAGTGGTTAGCAGTGTTGTCTCGCAGTGCTGGGGCTCTGGGTTCGGGGTTCATTGCACGTCCCAGGACGCAGGAATATGAAAAACGTTTGGTTTTATTTATTGCAGCTGTTGTAGAGGTAGTTAAACTGGCTTTCACCCACCTCAAGCTTTATTTGAAGTGATTACTAAACTACCTGGAAGCACAAAAGGTTTAATAACACGTTGGAGCTACTGCAGCTCAATAGCTAGAGAATACAAATGTTTTGAGGCTTATATACATTTCTCAGTTACCCGATTTTCTGATAGACCCTCTAACACCTGCCACCTCATCCAATTAATAACAAGATTAAGCTTTCAAAGACTTTCAGTTTTTCAAGCAATTTTACAGTTTTAGTCACAAAATCAAGGATGTACTGTACAGTAGCTGATTAAAAAATTGTACTGTATATACCTACATTAGTATCTTGGACAGCCAAGTAAAAGAACATAATGGTTTCTTTTAGAATTTCTGATCTCTTTGGTTTAGTACAGTGGAGTGTAATAATGTATTTTCTCTATATTTATTTAGGATATATTTAACTACCACATGTTAAGGAAATAAAAATTTGGTGTAATTAAAATGCTCTCTGTAAACCATGCTGTTGTTAAAATGTAGACCAATGTAATCTGGCTTTGACTAAATTGTCCCATTTCCTCCATCCTCTGCTAACATTTAGGGGAACTGGTGCTGAGACACTGTGCAGGTGTAACTGACCCAGTCTTAGGAAATTCTGTAATACTTTAGTGATATTTTAGGCTTAATGTTGTGACATTTTGAGGTGCTGGAAAAGAGAGCAAAGCATTTTCTTCCTGTGATTTTTAAAATATTTAAAAATTTTTTTTGTCTTTGCCTGGTCTCTGTTGCAGTGTTTTCATATGCTGTTCTGCATATTGCTTA